GAACTACCAAAGAAATTGGAAAATACTAAAGATTGTCTTTACATTCCAATTTTAAGGAACTTAAATCCGTCACTATAGTAGAGATGGATAAATGTTTTGTTTGACAAAAACATTGTTCTTTATTAATCAATAATTAGATTATTGTAATTTAATTGGTTGTCTCTATAGTAGAGATGATGTGGTAGTTTAACTGTTTAGAATACGATGATGCTTAAAACCCAAAAGGTTGCAAGGTAGTGACTAATCCCAACTGAGTTGTGATACCTCTAAAACATAAGTTACGAGTTGGTCATAGATGGATGCTTTGGATCGTTAGATCCGGATCCAATACCTTCTTGTTAAAATTGCATAGAGGCGAAATGTTCGAATCTTTATTCTTTTTGGAAAGAAGAAAGAATCACAAAGTTGTTGAGGTTGATTCACTTAGATGTTAGTGGCACTTGTCCACAACATAATACTACTCATGTTGTATGACATTCACCGAAGATCACTCTCGGTTGGACTATAGTTTATTTTGAATAAACACAAGTCCGAATACTTTGCAAAAGGTTTCAAAGAATTCAAGAAATGTAAGTAGATGAGTAAGACGTCTAAAGTATTTACCTCCTTAGATTTGATCCAAGGAAATAGTAACACTTTAGATTAATTTCCTTGAAAAATATCAAGGAAAGTAGCATCATAAGATAATGAATTTCTCCATTAGGAGAAGAATGAACATAAATAAGATTTAGTTCGTTGGACATTATCAATTACCCATATATATATGATATATACTTCTAAGACATGTTAGTTGTAGAGATCCATCCATCATGGATCTTATCAAGCTAGTGGGAGCTATAAGCGTCTTATGAGAAAAGATCAATTGTTTGATTTCTCATAAAGATGTAAATGAATCTTTTGTTTACTAGGTTTACAAAAGATTAGTGGGAGTTGATCATATTCCTAAATTAGAATATATATACATGATATATATTAATTTTGAAAATGAAAGGAATTCTTCATCGTTAAAGTTATGACTTTAAACATTCTATAATGATAGAATGTATATGGGAGACATAGTCTATATACATGGGATGGAAATCTATAATGATAGATTTCAAGATATAATTGGATTATATCAATCCCTAAAATAGACAAGAGATGCTAGGAAGTTTCTCATATGATGATAAACTTCAATTAGAATGACAATTCTAGTGAGACTAGGAAGTTGTTCTTCTCAAAGGGAATGTACCCTTTGACTCTCAAAGAAATAATGCGTAAATAGAATCCTTTATGCATACGCAGAAAGGTGATTTATGTATTTCATATTGTATGAAAACATTGATATAAGTCGTACCTAGAACGGTACAAGATGATATCAGTGCAAGCCCAGGATTAGAACCATGGCAACTGTCAAGTGAATCCTTAGGTATTTAAGAAATACTAAGGATGGATTCCTCAAGAATGAGGAAGAATTAGAGTAACGTAATGGAAGCGTAAATGTATTAGATTATGAATCTAATCCATCATAGAATATATCTTCATTATGAATGAAGTGATAATGAGATATCTCTTTATTATGACTAAAGAGATATTTGGGTGGAAACGTTAAAAGTAAATGACTTTAATGTGTTCCATCATGTATGCAAAATATATTGCCATATAGAAGCTTACAACATTGTTGTTTGGATGGGAAAGTTCATTCATGAACTCTCCATTCGGTTCCAACCAGAAAGTGTATGACACTAATGGGGCGATAGCTCAAGCCAGGGAATCAAGGTCTCATCAAGGTCCGAACTCAAATGAGAGACTGAACCACATGATTGAGAATCATGTATAATGGTGACGTCGTTATTCTCAAGGTTGCTTCTATGGATAACATATAGATATCCATTGTTTAGGCCTACTACTCAGCCATTTATGGAAGAGGTATCATCAATGATGACTAAGCTGATTGGCTCTAGTGCAAGTGGGAGATTGTTGGAAATGTGCCCTAAAACCAATCATATGATGATACTTTACGGACATTTCAAACTAATGTAGTTTAAATGTAAAGGGCAAACATTATTGTTTGAGCCGTCTCATATAAATGTTATATGCTTAAACGATAAGTCCAAGGAATATGTGATTGGAAGAATGCGATCTAAAGAAGTTAGATTCATGAGACCATTCTTTCGTTGACACATCCTAAACGTTCCTGATCATAGGATTGTCAATTGGGCATTAACAGTCCGTTAAGATCAGTACGTGCTATGTCTTCTCTCAGGGAGAGTGACTAGTCTCGAGTCATTGGTGTGTGCGACATCAAGACAAGTACGTAGGTGCTCAATAGAGAATGAGTTCACTGAACACGATCAAAGAAAAGTTCTCATAATCATGTCACATGAGAACTCATGGTTGGGATAATGCAAATTAGTCTTTTGACCTGAGGCATCACAGTTGTCTTGTGGTTAGGTCCTTAATCTTTGATTATGTCAAAGTCACTCCATCAGGAGGGTGTCCAAGGCATCGTTGGGGTTAAGCCACTTAGCCATGGAGGCAAGTGAATGCGCAACAAGGGATCTCTAACCTTCAAACTGTTTGAGGGAGAATACTCTATGATATGATTAAGAATCTTTGGCCAAAGTATGAATGAGATTTAGGAATGTGTTCCAAATCACATTCAAGGTAATCATATAAGCACAAGACTCACATTGGATAGTAGACATGAATAAACTATCAAACCAAACAATGTGGTCAAGAGTATTGTCTTAGAGAAAGACCGTATTGCATTTGTAATCCTAAAACTGAATAGGTTCTCCACCTCTTCTGATTAGCTTGGGTAACCATGACATGCTGCTAGGCGTCAACCATGGTTTGTGGAAGCCTTAAAAGTGTATTATCACTAACGGGAGAATTGAAAGTAAGTTTCAATTCACAATCGATTTGAAAGAGTTTGAATCGCCCACTGCCTCGCTAAAAGGAACCTAATGGATCGTACACCGTGTAAGGTAGAGATTGAAGATTCAACGGAGATGAGTAAGAATAATTGAATGGTTTAATTATTTATGGCAAGGATTAATTAATATGATTATTAATCAAACGAATAAGTTCGTTGAAGACCTCGGGATAGTTTTGGACCTTAAGGCCCAATGGGCTTCGAACGTCAAGTCCATTGACTTAAGTTGTATGACAACTTAATGAATAATGATTCACAAAGGCCCAAATAGCCCAAATAAATCCCTAAGGCCGGCCATTTAGAGAAAGAGTGGGTTTTGGACTTATTTACAAGTTTGCCACTCAAATGAATTAAGGTATAAGTGTGACTTAATAGCCAAAATTCATTAAGGGTTGTTTTTGGGGAAATTGGAGAAACACAAACTCTCCTTTCTCTCTAGAAATGGCCGGCCACCTTGAGGAAAACATCTAGCAATCTTACTTCCTCAAGGTCACTCATTTCTTCTACAATATACCTTGGTGTGGAGACTTAGAGGTTCTCAATTTTGGGAACTTGGAGAAACCTTTTCATCCATCCAAATCCATGGATCTAAGATGCAAGGAATGAAGGCCCTCTCTTTGGGTGATTAGCCTTTGCTTATGCAAAGAGGAATCTACAAAGGTATTGATTTCTCAACTCACTTTGTTTTGAGTTGAGTCTTGGTTCACCTATCTACTAGGCTTTGAATTTCATGGGTAAATGTTTTGTTTTTAAGTGCATACAAGCATGATTCCGCCTTTAATTGTTAATTGCATGCTATTGATGTTGCTTAAATGAACATGTTTTTCACAAATCTTCCTTCAGTCTCGTCGTGCAAAGTTGGGAAAAATTCTTGGTTTGGTGCCAAAAACTTGCCCGATGCATAGGACACATCGCGTGAAGCTATTTTGCGCAACGACTGTACACATTCGTCACGCAAAACTGCTTTGCACGACGGAGTGCTTCGTTGTGCAAAGTGTCGTCATGCAAAATATCCTAGCGTGACGATTTTTTGTTAACGTTGCGCAAACTGACCTTGCGCAATGTAATTTGCTACGTCGCGTAAATATGTTTTTGTACTAGTGGCAGGTTGTTCGTCTGTTTAAACGCAAGCCATAACAGACTTATCTAGTGCTCGATAAGGACTGTTTTCCCCATTGAGAAAAACTTGTTTCTTATATACCTACATATTCATTTTTTAAAATGAATATTTTAACTAACTAAAACAAAGTCACTTAGTACCATGGTCTACTGGTATTCCTCTTCACTTGTAAGTGAGGGGTTTTAGGTTAAATTCTTGCCAAAGGTGAAGTTGAACCACATTATTATGGCAAGTCCATTGTAAGGATTAGCACACTCCATCACCCTCTTAATGTAGATACTATCATTTGTTCAAAATAAAAAAAACAAATAAATAAAAACTAGCTAAAACAAATAAGTAACCCCTAAAGAAACAAACACGAAGCACAAGTAAGTTTATTTGCATCATTTTCATTTATCAGATTTTGTTTGGTTCTTCTTTCACTCCTTCAGGTATTGATGAGGTTTGTGAGGTCATTCAGCCAATGGTCACTAATTCTGAAAATGATTTTTTATATGCATTACCTACTAATGAGGAAATTAAGGAGGTAATTTTCTCTTTAAGTGCTTCTAGTGCGCTTAGGTCAGATGGTTTTCCAAGTTTTTTCTATCACCATTGTTGGGATATTGTTGGCTTTGATGTTATTCAATTTGTGAAGCAATTCTTTCAATCAAATTGGTTATACCTATGTCAATAGTGATAACAATGCTTAGAAAGAAAACCAGAAAATACCTAGAAATGTAGAGAGAGAGAATGATAGAGAAAAAAGATAGAAAGATATGATTTTTCAGTGTATTACATTTGATAGTTTGCTTACAAGATTTATCGCACTTATATACCCAAGTGTTATCTTATCTCCTAAGCTTCCAATCCTAACAACTCTAACTAACTAACTGTCTTTTATACCAGTTTTACACACCAGCACCATTTTACACATTTTGACCATACTACCCTTCTTATGCTAGTCAATATCCCCCCGCAATCTTAACTTGGGGTACCAAGTTTAAGATTGTAACAATGTTTGACAAATAACAGACCATGGAACCCCTTAGTTAGAATATCAGCAGATTGATCTTCAGTGGGAGTATAGGAGACTTCTAAATCACCTTGTTGCACCTTCTCTCTAACAAAATGGTAATCAGTATCCAAGTGCTTGATTTGAGAATGAAACACTGGATTTGCACTCAATGCAATCGCAGACAAATTATCACAGTGTATAACAAGTGGTGTTGGCAGAAACAACTCCAAATCCTTCAAGACTGCCCTTATCCACGCTAGATCAGTTGCAGTGTGAGCCAAGGCTTTGTATTCTGCTTCAGTAGAGCTTCGAGAGACAGAACTTTGTTTCTTTGACTGCCATGAAATTGGATTATTACCAAGGAAAACAAGATAACCAGTCACAGACCTCTGAGTGTTCAAATCTGCAGCCCAATCAAAGTTTGAAAAAGCCTTGAGACTCGGTTTTGTAGCTGCTGAATACACAATACCATACTGCATTGTACCCTTAAGATACCTCAAGATTCTCTTCACAACTCCAAAATGAACATCAGTTGGTGCTTTCATAAATTGGCACACAGAATTAACCGCAAAAGCAATATCCGGCCTAGTAAATGTCAAGTATTGGAGAGAACCTACAATACTTCTGTAAAATGTAGGATTTGTTAATGACATTCCTTCAGTGAGAAGCAATGAGTCGTGTGGCTTACATGGTGTTGCGGATGGTTTACAAGAATCCATTCCAGCTTTATGAAGCAAATCATTGATATATTTCGACTGGTTTACAAATATATCCCCATTTGATTGATATGAAATCTGTAGGCCCAAGAAATAGCTGAGTCTGCCCAAATCTTTCAATTCAAACACCTCTGATAATTCATGAATGACCTGTTGAACTTGGACAGAATTAGAACCTATCAAAATTATATCATCCACATAGAGAAGTAGGATGATGATATCAGCACCATTGTTTTTTACAAACAGACTTGTGTCAGACAATGAAGCATGAAACCCCATAGCACACAGATAGGTGGTAAACTTAGAATTCCAGGCCCTTGGTGCCTGTTTAAGGCCATACAGTGATTTAACTAGTTTACAGACATAAGTAGGACAGGTGGGATCAATAAAACCTTGAGGTTGTTGCATATAAACCTCTTCTTGTAAATCCTCATGCAAGAATGCATTTTAAATGTCCAATTGTTTCAACTCCCAGTGATTCATTGCAGCTATAGCAAGAATGATTTGTACTGCTGTGTGTCGAATAACAGGACTAAATGTCTCTGAATAATCAATTCCATGCTCCTGTGAAAACCCTTGAGCCACCCATCGAGCTTTGTATCTCGATACACTGCCATCAGACTTCTTTTTGACCTTGTAAACCCATTTACTACCAACCACAGATCTGTTACTAGGATATGGAACTAACTGCCAGGTACCCTGAGCCCTAAGGGAGTCATATTCTTCCTGCATAGCTTGCTGCCAATGTGGAATACTTGCAGCTTTTCGAAAATTAGAAAGTTCTTTAGTATCAGTTATCTCTGTCACAAATGAATAACCACCAGAAAACACTTCATCTTCTATAACTTGTAAAGACTGTAATTCTGGAAAAGATGTCAAATAGGTAGCATAATCTTGTCGTTGTATAGTCCCACTTTTCAATCTTGTAACCATGGGATGAATAGATACTGCATCTGGGGACATTGAATGATTTTCAGAATGTTCACTTAGTTGAGGAGAGATAGGAATTAATACCTCCAGTTGGGAACTATGATGGACAGGCAACAAGGGTGATTCATTGACTTCTTCATTGGAGTGATGATGGGAAGGTGATGGTTGAGAGTAGTTAGAACTATTAGCAGATTCATTAAATGCTTCCATATCATAACTGGATTGCACGCTTGACACTTGCTACTGAGAAACAGGATCTAACACTAAAGCTGCACTTGATACGGATACTGAACTATGAACTGCATGAATAGGCATTTGAACCACAACCACATCTCCTGTTATGTGCTTAGACTGTTCAGAACGAATATACCCTCGAGATAGTTCTGTTTTATATGGAAACACTTCCTCATTGTATATGACATGCCTTGACAAAATCAATTTTCGATTGTTCATATCATAGCATATTGCTCCTTTGTATCATAAAGCATAACCAAGAAAAACACATAGTGAAGATCGAGCTTGAAGCTTATTAATAGTATATGGTCTCAGTAAGGGATAAATGGCAATGCCAAAGACTCTAAAATTATGAATCTCTGGTGTTTTTCCAAACACAATTTGATATGGAGACTTAAACTCTAAGACTTGAGATGGCATTATGTTAATTAAGAAAACTGCATGAGCACAAGCATGATACCAGAACATTTGAGGCAAACTTGCTTCTATCATTAAAGTGATTGCAGCTTCTACTACATAACGATGTCTCTTTTCAGCAATACCATTCTGCTGAGGAGTATAAGGACAGGAAATCATGTGTGAAATACCCTTACTTGCTAGAAACTCCTTAAATGTTTTACTTATATATTCACCTCCTCCATCAGACTGAAAACATTTAATTGAAGCATGAAACTGATTAAGCACAAAAGCTGTGAACTTCACAAAAATTGAACAAGCTTCTGATTTATTGATCATAGGAAATATCCACATGAATCTAGAAAATTCATCTACAAAAGTAATGTAGTACTTATATCCTTCTATAGATTGTATTGGAGATGGTCCCTATACATCGGAGTGAACTTTCTCAAACAAACACTTAGCTTTATTTTGTCTCACTGGAAATACTTGTCTACACATTTTCCCTTTTACACAAGAAGAACTCATAGTTGGACAAGGATCTTTACTAGTACTAATTTCAGCAGTCTTCAACATTCGAGCCAAAATATCCCCTGATGGATGCCCTAGCCGTTGATGCCAAATTGCAGTCCTTACTTTCTGTCCCAAGAATGCAGCACATCGACTCAACCTTGTAGCAAATGAACTGTCAAAGACAGTTATTGGAATCTTGAGAAGTTCCCCATCACCACTCCTTCCGTGGTACAAAATCACCCTTGTTGCTTTGTCCTGTATAAAGAAATCCACATAATCACAAATAAACCAACATCCATTATCTTTGCATAACATCTTAACAGAAAAAAGATTGACAGTGATTTGAGGCACATGCAAAACATTATGCAGAATTAAAGCATTATTTGGAATTGTAATTGTAGAAGAACCAATGTTCTTAACTACCAAACCTTCACCATTTCCAATTGTTATCTTCTCATCTCCATTGTAAGAATTGACTTGAGAGAGTGCATGAACATTGGAAGTCATGTGGTGTGTAGCTCAGGTGTCTAGAATCCAAGTATCCCCATTTGGGAATCCATGTCCATTGTTCTGTGGTGCATTTTGTCCAATATTAGCCTGTGCAGTCATTGTAGTCAAGGAAGAAGGTGGTGGAGTACCCTGATAAGCAAAATTATTTCGATGATAACACTACAGTGCAATATGTCCTTTTTTCCCACAAATCTGACAAGCAAGGAACCCTGTATTTCCAGTGGCAGCTCTGTGATAGCAATTAGCTGCTGTATGTCCCCTCCTAGAACATATTTGACATTCAGGTGAAACACCAGATCTGTAAGTTGTATTGCCATTCCAGGTATTACTCTTTTGAAAACCACTACCGAAGAAACTGCTTCCATTCTGTGACTGAACACTTTTACCATTGCCAGAAAAGTTGCCATTAAAACTACCATTGTTACTTCTGTGACCAGATTGATTTCCATTGCCAGAGAAATTTCTTGAACCATTATTACTTCTATGATCAAAATTACCATTGTTATAATTGCCATTATACCGCCTATTTCCCACTGAAAAATTGCTCTTCTGTACAAACCTGTCACCATTCCTCACAAAGCCAGAACCACCATGAAACGCATTGGAGTGTTCTCCATCATATTCCCCTTGAAACCTATGAGAATTGGAACTTTCCCCAACTTTGAAACCGTTATGATTATTCTGAAAAGCATTGGAACCAGATCCATCTCCATGAACATACTTTGATGCCATGGATGTACTCAAAGACTTCATTCGTGATTCAATATTAGCCTCTGCACCAAGAAGTTGAGCCCTCAAATCTTTATATGATATAAGAGAATCCCGAGCCAATATCACAGTCTTTATCATTTCAAGCTCAGGAGGTAAGCCAGATAGCACATCTATAAGAAAATCATTCTCAGTAATCCTTTCTCCAGCAGACACTAGTTGATCCTTAATTGCTTTAACCCGTAAAAGAAACCTATCCACAGATTCCCCACCTTTTTGGATAGTGTGAAACTCACTCTTCAGTTGATTGATTCTAACCATGGAGACAGATGCAAACCTTTCTTGTAAGCAAGTCCAGGCCTCACACGCAGTCTTACTACCAATAATGTGTTCCATAACATCATCAGATAGCGTAGCAATGAGAAGACTGAGTAAGGCTAGATCCTTCTTCACCCAATCTTTATACGCCACAGTAACTTCATTAGTAACTCCTGACTCTGTATCAATAACAAATCTCGGAGGAAATGGATCTTCACCCGTGAAATGATAAAAAAGATCGTATCCCCTAAGAACAGACTGAAACTGGAAACTCCATTTAACAAAATTGTCATCCTGAAGCTTTAACATAAGCATCCCAAGCAACCCTTCAATCTTGACATTAGACGCCGCCATTTGAATACCAAACAACTAAACAAAATATGTTCTTGAACCCCAAATATGCTACCCTTCTTTTCTTATGGCTATCGGCCTTTTTCTTTCTTCTATGAAAACACCTTCCACAATCAAACAATGGCTATTGGCCCCTTACGAACTCAAATAATGGCTATCGGCCTTTGAACTTGCTAACAATGGCTATCGGCCTTCAAATTCATAGAAAAATAGCAAACACTCTTCAACTAGAACATATCACAAACAGATGGTGTGCACTGCGAAAACAGAAACCAAGAACATGATATGAACGAACCCCCTTGACCCTTTTTGACAGAAATCGCTGTGAACTTGTAGCCATCATTAACCTTCAATTGCAGTTCCTTAATCTCCAGCGAAAGAAACGGCACCAAGAATCGTCCGGGCGATTGATACCATGATAACAGTGCTCAGAAAGAAAACCAGAAAATACCTAGAAATGTAGAGAGAGAATGATAGAGAAAAGAGATGGAAAGATATGATTTTTCAGTGTATTACATTTGATAGTTTGCTTACAAGATTTATCGCACTTATATACCCAAGTGTTATCTTATCTCCTAAGCTTCCAATCCTAACAACTCTAACTAACTAACTGTCTTTTATACCAGTTTTACACACCAACACCATTTTACACATTTTGACCATACTACCCTTCTTATTGTAGTCAATAAATAGTAATTTCTTTGTTATGATAATGAAGGTAGAAGACATTATTTCCATTATTGAATTTAGACTTATTGCCTTGGCAAATTTTCTTTTCAAGATTATTCCCAAAATTTTTGGCAGTTCGCCTTTCTCATGTTGTTCAACGCATTCTTTCTCCACAACAAGCTGCTTTTGATACAACTAAGGCTTTAGGGTTCTTTCTCCACAAAATTTTGTCATAATTCTTTCTCCACAACGCATCTTTTCTGTCTAAAATTTTGGCTACATATCACATATTGTATTGATCTTGTTTCAGAATGTTTCAATGTGCTTGACAAAAAAATCTCGCAATGGTAACATGAGAGTTAAAGTTGATATAGCTAAGGCTTTTGATACTTTAGATTGGTCCTTGTTGTTGCAGTTGCTTACTAACTTTGGGTTTTCCACTTGTTTTTTGGAATGGGTTTCTACTATCTTAAGATATGCCAAATTGTCCATCTTAATCAATGGTTCCCCGCATGATTTTTTCTCTTGTTCTCGGGGAGTGCGCCAAGGGGATCCTCTCCCTCAGTTGCTTTTCTGTCTAGCTGAGGATGCCTTATCAAGGGGTCAAATTCGACTTCAACTTGATGGGCTTACTAAACCAATTTTTGCTC